CAGCCCCACGCCTGACCCACATCTAGTCCCCTTCTTTTTAAAATGTCCAGGCACCCGCTGCTGGCGGGCTGTGTCACAGTGGATTTGACACGAGCACAGCAGAGCCACCTCAAAGGAGAGCAGGCACTCGCACACCCCAGCCCCCCTGAACAAGACCCTTCCTCCTCACCCCAGGCTGCCCCATGGAGGGGGTTCCCCCTACCCCTCACCCAGCACCACTGCGTTCAACAGGTCCTGTGGGTTGGGACAGGCGGGGCCCTTTGCAGAAAGGGAAACCAACACAAAACCAGCAAGAGAGAGGAGCGAGGTCTCCGTGGGTGCTGTCTCAGTCCACACACATCCTGTCCCCCAGGCCAGGGTAGGCCCTGACCCCCCCGGGTCCTGCCCAAGCCACCCACTGGCCACTTGAACACCTGGAAACAGAAGCCCCGAGTTTCTGGAACTTCTCTGGCTCGGCAGACGCCCCAGCCGGGCCCAGGTCAGCAGGCCTGGCCCTCTCGGCAGACAGCGAGCAGCTGGCCGCATTCCTGCAGTATTCTTGGGTGCCTGCTGAGGGGGAAGTCCTGGGAGCCCGGGGTGTCTGGCTCGTCTGCGCATCGGGACTGGCTCCCACACCCACTCTCCCCAAGCCTTCTCCCCCAGGCTCCCGCTCAGTCCTCCCGGCTCTGTCTCCTCCTCTGGGGAATTTCCTTTCCGTGTGCTTGTTTTGAATTTACTGACGACAGGCCAAGGACTGGGAGTTAAGCAGAGGCTAAGCCAGAGTTGGCAAAGGCTACTAGCGCAGGATCGAGCTGGGTCCTCAGAGCATCGTGGTCCAGTCCTCGGGCCCGTGCTCATCAGCTCAAGGGCGCTCCCTGCCCATGACCCCCAGCCTCCGCCAAGCCAAGCCCCAGGCAGGGCTCTCACCTGCAACTCCTCTGGCAGGGAGGCCTGGGCCAGCTCGATGCCCGCGCCCAGAGAGCCCCACCTCCTCAGGCATATCCATACTGGGAAGGGTGACCACAGGTCAGGTGGCCAGACCCCTGGGCAATTAGCTCTCTTCCAGTGTCCCCAAGTGCCCCATCACTCCTGGGCCAGGGGAGTAGATGGAAGAGAGGTGGGCAGGGGCAGCAAGGGTCGGGGTGGGTCCTACCTTGGCAGGTCTTGCCGTCCCCCTGCAGCTGGTGGCCGGGGGGGCACCGGCAGTAGAAGCCCCCCACCGTGTTGCAGCAGTGACTCTGGCAGCCCCCATTAGCAACCTCACACTCGTCCACATCTGCGAGGAAAGAGGGCAGTGAGCTCCAGCCCAGAAGGGACTCCCACCACGAGGACAGTGCCCCTCTGCCCAGCAGCCTCCCCAAGGTCAGGGGGGACCCCTGACTCATCCATCCCACAGCTAAGACCCCAAGTGGGGGCCCGCCTGGTGAAATGATCCCTGCTATAGTCCTGGGGACACGTGGTCTTCCTGAGGCTCTCCCCATCATAGGGGCTGCCCCGGATCGAGCCCTGGGGTCGACTGGGGGTCCGGGGCTCTGGCTCAGCTTCGTGTCCCAAGAGAAAGCCAAGTGTCACCAGCTCAGAGACGGGACCCCCCCACCCCAGGGTCAGTCCAGAGCTCCAACCCCAGAGCAGAGGGCACACAGGTCTCCCAGGGGGGCCGGGGCGTGGGCATGTCCAGGCATTCTCCGAGGCCTGGGGGCTGGGCCTGAAGGAGGGAAGGCCCAGAGAGGCTGGCCCAAAGACTCCGTTGAGGGGGGTCTGGGGGACTGTGTGCCAGACCCCAGGCTCTGCTGCTCTCTGCCGGTGTGGTCATCACCTCTGAGGTTATGCTCAAAGGTCCCCCACCCCATGGCTTTGTCCGGATGGGCCAAGCATCTCCTTTCCCAGCCTGCCGCTTGGGCTCTAGCTGGCCTCAGGACGGGCTGTGGATGAATTAAAACACGCACTGTCATCGAGTGAATTCCAACGCAAAGTGGCACGGCAGGGCAGGGCGGAACTGCCCCTGTGGGTTTCCAAGACTCTCTACAAAATTAGAGAGCCCCGTCTTTCCCCAGACAGAGCTGCTGGTGGCTTCAAACCGCTGACCTTGGGGTTAGCAACCCAATGCATAACCATGCCTCCCAGCAGGGCTCCTGTGGGCTCCGCCCACCCCCACCCCCAAGCCTCTCACTGGAACCTGGCAGCAGGTACAGACCAGAGACCCTCATGTGTCCCAAATGCAAGACCATCAGGCCTACCAGAAGTTCGGTCCCCGGAGACCCCCCCTAATGGCACCCCTGACCTGAGCACCCCACAGCGCCCTGACCAGCTCCATCCTCTCACTCTGCACCTCGTGGGGGGGCCTGGAGAAAGATGGAGACGGGGAGTCCCACGGGAAAGGCCAGACGCCTCAAGACCGCTGGAATGTAACCCCAACCCAGACCAGCTGAGGTTAACGCAGGGAATTCTCTGGGAATTCCTAAAGAGTTACTCAGGGCGAGACACATCTCGGCCTTGGCCTAGCCGTGGGGTCAGGACCGGGATGTCCCAGCTCTCCCGGCCAGCCAGGGCAGAGGGCCAGCTAGAGAATAGAGGGGCCTCGCGTGGATAAGCTCAGTAGAAAGCTCCTCATCCGCCCTGACCCTGAAATAGCCATGACTGGTCAGCAGGAAGTGAGGCAAGGCCACAGGCAAGCGGGGCAGGAGACAAGGCCCACAGTCTCACCCCCTGACGTCGACCACCACGAGGGCCACACTCAGGGTGGACCGGTGGTGGGACCCAAAGGAGAGTGGGGCAGTCACTGCCCACCACGCAGAGCCCGCTGAATTCAGCTCAGTCCCCAGCCCACAAGCGCCCTGGGGCCTCTGGTCTCTGCTGCCTGTGGAATGACACCATGGCACCCCCTGCAGCGGGCAGAGGTGGCCTGTGCACCCCATCCACCACCCCCCAACACATACACACACAGAGGCAAGACGTGTCTCCCTCACCCCGAGATCTGCACTGGCCCACCTTCCTCAGCCTGTGGATGGGCCCCACCTGGCCTCAGGGTCCCTGTGTCCAGCCCAGACCTGGCACTTGGGGCCACAGGAAACAATGAACACTGACTAGACATCACACAAAGGGCTCCAGGAGAGCAGGGGGGCGGGTCACCCCTCCCCAGCCAGTGCCAGCTCAGAACGGAGCAGGAGGGGTCTGACCCAGGGCTCCATCCTGCCGGTAGGGGCCCCTCTGCCCAACGCCTTCTGTGCACATGACTGGGTGCGGGGGTACAGATGTCAGGGGGCCACCACCCTGGGCAGGGGGCAGCTTGGGCCTTGAGGAGAGGTGCAGGGAAGGGGAAGGGGAGCCCCACCAGTAGAGCATCCCTGATGATGGGTAAAAGCAGGGAGACCAGACCCTTCAAAGAACCCCGGCAAGTAAGAGGGCTCGTGGCAGCGTGAGTCCCAGAGACCCACAGGTGCAAACCACCCCGTGTCCCAAACAGACGCACCAAGAGTCCGCCAGCGAGAGAAACGTGGCCCCGATTCAGGTTCTG